CATGCATCCCGCTTGCAAGGCAACCCCCTCCCCTGCCCCTGCATCCCAGCTGCGGGCATCTGACCCTGGAGCATCCTCCGCTGCCCCCCCTCGCCTCACCCTGTCAGGACCTTCCTGTCCCAGAGCCGCCCGTGCTGATCTTTGGTGACAGGTACAGTCCCCTCGCGGTCCCTAGGGCTGACTCTCTGGCCCACCCCTAAGCGAGGCGGCTCGTCTCCTCTCCGGAGAGTCCTTGTTTCCCCGCCGGGCGGAGCCAGGCCCACCCCGGGCTGCACGAAGGGAGCTGCCCCTGGTCCTGACAGCCTCTTGGCTCTACACCCTCCCTCTCCCGGCCCCGCCCCGGAACTGGCCCCGGAGAGCCCCCTGGCAGCCTAGCAGCGCCCAGACCAGTGGGGCAAAGAAGGGAATCAGGGAAGAGGGCCTGCATTGGTGCTAAAAGCTAGAGCAAGATCTCTGCAGCTCACCTCCCACAGTGCCCCCGTCCCAGCCGGCCCCCTTCTCACTACCTTACACCCACACCTCAAGGCCTCTCCTGTTTGCATGGCCCAAACCAAGGCCCGGGCCCCCCAGCGCTGCCACAGCCCTGACCCCCAGAGGCAGCAGCCCAGGCAGAGATCAGGAGCTCAAGGATACTCAGAGGCATGCGGGCCTTGGCGATTTCCCACACCTACACACACACACAAGCTGAATCCTGAGATGTGTGTACAAACATCTCTATAGCGCCTGGACCCCCTGCTCTCCTGCTGGGAGGCCAACAGGACGCAGCAGCTTTGGTCCCTGGAAGACAGACAGATCTCTCTCTCTCTCTCTCTCTCTCTCTCTCTCTCTCTCTCTCTCTCTCTCGTCTGCCAGCAGATGGATAGGGTTTCATTTAAACACTAACTCCACCTGCCACACACACCGGAACCTTCTGGCTCCGTGCCCCTTTCACAACTGCAAGCACAGCATACTCATTCACACTTCCCCATCCCCACCAACGGCATCTGCAGAAGGCACGCACACACGCGTTGTAAAAGGCAGACACGCTCACACCCAAGACCACCTAGAATGTAGTTAAAGGGACCCGCCCACACCCCCACACACTGACTCACTGTGTATGGGTTGACAGTTGCTGGAGTGAACAGGCTGGAAAACCCTTCACACCCTCAGAAGTGTAAGACACGCCCTCCCACAGACAGGGTCACCCCGCGGCTGTCTTTTGATTCAGAAACATCAGGAACCAGAGTTTTCTCCACACCCCCTCCCTCTCTAATAGGAAGAGAAAAGTCACCCAGGAAGGAAAGCTGTGTGTCCCTGTCCTTCTTTGTCTCTCTTTTTCTCTCTCCTCCCACCTGACTCTGCCCCCGGAGAGCCCCGAGGAGGTGGGTGGCGAGGGTAAGGGGAGCTCTGAGCAGGCCCCTGTCCACCTGCAGACAGCATCCGGAGGTGCCTGAGCCAAGGGGCTGTGCTCCAGCAACACCGCGTGAAGCTGGAGACGAAGCCCAAGAAGTTTGAGGACCGAGTGCTGGTGAGGGCACTGGGCTTGGGAGCAGAGGGAGGCACCAAGGGCAGCGGGCTGCTGAGGGCAGAGAGCCTGGGAGGCAGGGCACACAGAGGTGGGGAAGAGCTGAGGAGCTGAGTGTAGGAGAGGGTTAGGCTGGGCTGGGCCAACGTCCAGGAGATTAGAATGGGGCATGAGAGAGAGGGAGGACCCCCAGCACAGAGGGCCGCTGCTGGCCAGGTTGCACACAGGCTGAGGGGGCTAAAGGAGGGCAGGAGTCGATGGCCCAGGGAATGGCCACTTGCTGCTGATTTTTTTTCCTCTCTCTGAAGGCCCTGACCTCCTGGCGCCTCCACCTTTTCCCCCTGAAAGTCCCAGCTAAGGTAAGTTGGGCTGAGGAGCAGAGAGCACCTGGCATGCTCCCTCCTGAGCGTGGCAGCCAGACCCTTACCACGAGCTGAGCTTCCCACACCCCCAGGTGGAGAGCTCCTTCAATGTCCTGGAGATCCGGGCCTTCAACACACTCAGTCAGAACCAGGTGAGCACCAGGGCCCAGGCCCCACTATCGGGCCAGCAGGAGGGAAGGGTCAATATGTGAGGCCCTGCTGCTCCCTCACCCCCAGATCCTAGTGGAGACAGAACGAGGCATGGTGAGCATGCGGCTGCCATCAGCTGAGAGTGTGGACCAAGTGACGCGACATGTGAGCTCAGCCCTCTCCAAGGTCTGCCCTGGCCCTGGGTGAGTGGCAAAGGAGGACTCTCTCAAGGGGGTGGGCAACAAGGAAACCTCTCCCTCCTCCGCTCCTCCCCTCCTTCCCCTGGACCCGAGCTCCGAGGACAGCAAGGAGAAGAGCCAGCATGTTCCTGCTCCTGTTTTTTCCTGGGGATCCAGAAGCCATAAGACATTGAGAGCCTCTGTTCACCTCTCTCTGGGATGGATTTGTTCATCTCCTAGGTGTCTAATCCGGCGTGGAAATGCAGACACTCCAGAAGGGCCCCGAGACACATCTCCCAACTCTGAGACTTCCACATCTACCACTCACAGTGTGTGTGGTGAGCAGGGGCAGACCTGACGAAAGTGGGACCTGAACCACCCTGCCCCTTGTCCAGAGTCCTTTATATATGGGGTTTCACCTGCCCCGGGGACCCCACAGCTCCCGGACCTCAGAGGTTCATGGTGTAGCAGGAACCCAGGACATAAAATGACCTTGACCTTTCCTTGACCCCCAAAACTGTTCCTCACTCCCTTGCCCCTCGTGGAGTCAACCCATATTCTGCCCATAGGTGGCTTCTCCGAGACCTACGCTGCCCTGTGTGACTACAATGGGCTGCACTGCCGGGAGGAGGTGCAATGGGTGCGTTGGGCAGGGATCCACTATTTGGGCAGCTGGGGCCTGGCGGGAGCGGGCAGAGGAGGAGGAGGGGAGCAGGTGTGAGCCAGTTCTACCTCTCCAAGGATGTGGACACCATCTATCATGCCGAGGATAACCGCGAGTTCAATCTTTTAGATTTCAGCCACTTGGAGAGCCGGTAAGCTGATGGGATAGATTCCCCACCGCCACCACAGAAGCCCTTCTAATCCCACCCACAGCCCCAGCTCTCTCCCCCCAACCCCTCTGCACTGCCTTCTACCCATCCAGGCTTTCCCCAGCCCAACCACTCTATCCCCAGTCTCTTCTTTCCTGCCCACCTGCTCACCCTTCCCTACCCACTTCAATCTCCCCACAGAGACTTGGCCCTAATGGTGGCAGCCCTGGCCTACAACCAGTGGTTCACCAAACTCTACTGCAAGGACCTGCGGCTGGTAGGGACGAGGAGGGGTGGTGGAAGTGGGAGGAGAAGTGTCCTCTCTGGTCCCTGGTCACAGCACCCCTCTGTCCTCAGGGCTCTGAAGTGCTAGAACAGGTGCTACATACCCTGAGCAAGTCGGGGAGCCTCGAAGAGCTGGTGCTGGACAACGCTGGACTGAAGACGTGAGCCAGCCTCCTCCTTGGGCGGTGGTGCCCCCGTGATGTAATCTTAGGGCAACAGAACCTCAGAGCACAATAGGGGCCTCTGAGCTATCTCATCCTGCTCCTCACTTTACAGAAGACGCTGGGGCCCAAAGAGAGCAGACAACAAGTCCATGGTCACGCTGGACCCAGACCTAAGCCTCCCGACCCCAGCTCCAGGGCCTTCCCCAGCAGGGCCTTCCCAGCATGCTCCACCGACCACCAGGCAGGGTGGGCTTCTCTGACTCCAGGGCCCGAAGCTGGTCTTTGTCTCAGCACAACTTCTCTTGTGCTCCAGAGCGGTGGCAAGTTCCGTGGCAGACCCTGAGCTGCTCCGCACCTTGGGGGCTCTATCCTTTGCAGTCCCAGCCAGGCGGGCAGGTGGAGGAGAAGGGGAAGCCCAGGGCCTGGGACAAACAAACCCTTCCTCCCCCGCCTGAAGGGACTTTGTCCAGAAGCTGGCCTGCGTGTTTGGGGAGAACGGAAGCTGTGTGCTACATGCCCTCACTCTGTCCCACAATCCCATCGAGGACAAGGGTGAGCCCCAGCCCGGAATCCTACCCCCACCGCAATGCAGACCCTGACCTAGCCCAGAGCCCAACCCGGTCTGAACAGTGGATCTCCAACCTGATACCAGCCCCTGCCCCAACACCTCCATCCTTCACCCCAGGCCTGTACCCCACTCACACCCCTACTCTGACTGTGCCACCTGCTCTCCCCACTCCCCAGGTTTCCTCAGTCTGAGCCAGCAGCTCCTCTGCTTCCCCACTGGCCTCACCAAA